TGGGGCTAGACAGGATTTGCATCCCACATTGTCACTTACCAGTTTTGTGACCTAGGACAATTACTTAAATTCTCTGGTTTTTAGTTTCCACATCTAAAAAATGAAAGTAATAATGATATTCTATGTTATAAAATTATTGCAATGATTGAATTAGTTAATATATATAAAGTACCTAGAACAATACTCTGCATATAAGTGCTCAGTGTTATCAAAAATAAATGGTAAGTAAATAAATAAATAAATGGCTCGTGTCAGCCAGGACTCCAAAGACATAAAAGAACCTTAGTCCTTAGTTCAAACTGGTTTAATCAAAAAAGAGAATTAATTGGTTCGTGTTACTAAAAAGTCCAGGGCTGGGTTGGCTTCAGACTTAGCTTCATCCAGGAGTTCAAACATTCTTCTCAGTAATCTCTGCCCATTTCTCCAAGGAGTTAGCTTCATCTTCAACAGATTTCTACTTTGTGGTGACTAAGATGGCCTTCAGCAACCCCAGGCTTATATCCTACCTCCTTAACAGCCTTAGTGGAAAGAGAACTCTTGCCTGACAGCCCCAGTTTGAAAACAGTTTCTTTCCTGAATAAGTGTGAAATAACAGAAGATCCTTAGGGACGTGTTTGGGGTTCTATACCCTGGAATTCTCTATTGCTTGCTGAGGTTGCTGTGATTCCATCCCATGATCTTTCTGAGTACTGGTGGCAGTTCCCCTCCTCCCTTGTTCTCCAGCCCCAGTCATTCTCCACTCTGTGATGGTCTGGATCTGGAGAGAGTCTATGGTTAGTCTGACCCAACCAGACTTTCCCTTGGGATCTCACTGAGAGACACAGGGAAGAGATGACTGCCTGGGTTTGGTGGTAGCCTCAGTAGGATAGTGGAATCCAGGAGTAGTGGTGTTCAATCCTGTACCTCAGCTTTGGGTTTTCCGGACTCTGAACTTTGTGAGAGGGTTAGGTAAATTACTTTGAGTAGGGTTTTGTTTTATTTGTTTTAGTGTAAATTTGTTGAATAGAGTCTGATTGAGGGCAAGTTACAGAACAACAGTGTATACAGTGTATAAATTTCAACTCCAGCAGTTAAAACAATTTATGGAGGCACTTTTCTAGGTACAGGACATATAGCAGTGAATGAAACAGTCAAGGTTTTGGAACTCATGGTGTTTACGTTCTGATGGGGGAGTGGAGAGGATACATAAACAAAAGAAATCAGTGATATGTGCTGTGAAGGAATTAAAATAGAGTGAAGGGCGCCTGGGTGGCTCAGTCATTAAGCATCTGCCTTCGGCACAGGTCATGATCCCAGGGTTCTGGGATCGAGTCCCACATCAGGCTCCCTGCTCGGCAGGAAGCCTGCTTCTCCCTCTCCCACTCCCCCTGCTTGTGTTTCTGCTCTCGCTCTGTCTCTCTCTGTCAAATAAATAAAATCTTTTAAAAAATAATAATAAATTGAAAAAGAGGGTGGCTGTGGCCACTATATTCAGGATGGTTAGAATTGGCCGCTGAGGAGGTGACAGTTGAGCCTGATAACCTGAAAGATGAGAAGGGACCAGGTGTGGGATGATCTCGGAGTGGGGCGTTCCAATCTAAGCATTGTTTTATGTGGAGAAAGGACTGCTGCAAGGGTGGAGGGGGGGATTTTTCACAGACATAATGAGGGTGTGTTTGCTGTGTGCCAGGTGCAATGCTAGGAACTGAAAATGTAGCAGTGAATAATACAGCCACAGTCTTTCCTTCCCTCGTGGATCTTACAGTCTAGGCATTTCTGGAAAAGCTGCAGCCTTCAAAGAAATACCTTTCGATGATATCAGACCAAAAACTCCTTGGGGAGATGAGGAAGACTGGGACACATATGAACCCAGATCTGATTGATGAGAGGGAACCAGCCATGTGGTGATCTGGGGAAGAACATTTCAGGTAGAGGGGTCAACAGCGACAAAAGCCCTGAGATGGGCTCAAGGAACAACAAGGAAACCAGTGTGAGGGAGAGGGGGCAGGGAATTGAAGAGGCTAGATCATGTAGGGCCTTGTGGGCCATGGTAAGGAGTTTTACATTTTCATTTAAGAGACTTGGGAAGCTATTAGAGGGTTTTTAAAGCAAGTCAGTGACATGATCTGAATTTTTTTTTTCTTTAAAGAATGTTCACTGATTTATGCAAGGAAAACGGGTAAGAATGGAAGCAGGAGGTAGATGAGGAGGCATTACATTAGTCCAGATGAAAAAAGATAGTAACTTAAATATGGTGGTGGCAGTAAAAAATCAGAGAGATAGATGTATTTTGGGTATAGAGAAAACAGGACTTAATTATGGGATTAGAAAGAGAGGAATCCAGGATGATAATAGCTAGCAACTCTATGAGAGTATGTACTATTATTAAACCCATTTTACAGATGAGAAAACAGGCACAGCAAGGTGAAATCTCTTGCCCAAAGTTACACAGGTAGTAAGTGGTAGGATTCTCTTTCCAACCCAGACAGTGTGGTCCCAGAGCCACTTGAGTTTTAGGAAAGAAAAAGGAGGGCATGTTTAGCTGACGTTAAGAAAAAAAGAATTATTGGGACGCCTGGGAAGCTCAATCAGTTAAGCGTCTGCCTTTGGCTCAGGTTGTGATCTCAGGGTCCTGGGATTGAGCCTCACATCAGGCTCCCTGCTCAGTGGGAACCCTGCTTCTCCCTCTCCCTCTGCTTGCTTGTGCTCTCTCTCTCTTTCTGTCAAATAAATAAATAAAATCTTTAAAAAAAAAAAGAAAAGAAAAAAATTATCGAGAGCAGATGAATAGATCTTATGGAAGAGAAAGGAGTCCAAGATGACTTTAAGAAATTCTGAGTTGTCCACAGAAAGGTGGTAGTTGAATCTGTGGGAGTTGATTATCAAGTGATAGGATACAAGTATAGAGAAAGGAAAGAGCTAAAGATACTGTTTTATTGGGGAAGGGTCAACACATTTAAGGGTGGGATGAGTGAAAGAGAGCAATACATGGGGGCAAGGGGGAAGGGATGCCAGCTTCCTCTCTACTCCAGGGTTTCCCACAGCTTCCCAGGGGGGCGCTTATCTTCCAGGAGGCCCTGCCTGGCTTCTCCCCTCCTCTCCCTCTGTTCCTCAGAACTATTCATACAAAAGCCTCATTCTTGGCTGAAGCAATAGTATGCATATTTTGTGTACATATTTCAGGAGTTTCTGAAAATAATGGTTGGTCTTTACAAAAGAGAAGTTGAGCTCCCTTGGCATCTGACATTCTCCTGTTCTTCTCCGGTCAGGATAGTGAGTTAACGTTAGGTAACTAGCCTGTTACCTTGTTCATGAAGTATGAATTCCTGAAAGGCCTAGGTGGGTGCTGTAGAAGGGCTAGGAATGGGTAAGAAGGCTAATAGGACCCCCTTATTTAGAGATGTTGGCATTAAAGGGTGTACCTTTTGCCCAACTTTTCTAGCTACGTAGTGGAAGGGAACTTACAGGAGGCTGTAATATTCTGAGGAACAAGCAAGAGCCAGACTATCTGGCCTTGAAAATCTGAGCTTAGCTGTGTGTAGTCTTAGGCAAGTGACTTAACCTTTTCTGTGTCTCAGTTTCTCCATTTGTTGAATGAGAATAATATTGTGTGTGTATATCTGTAGATATGTGTGTAATACATGTGTATCTTACGTATATGTGTGAAATATAGCGTATATGTTGTTTTTAGAATCAAATGAACTCATCCACAGAAAGCTGTTAGCATAGGGCCTAGCATATGACAGGATAGGTGCTATAGGAAGATATGCTAAGGATCATGGTAGGTATTTTTATATACATTGTTTCATTTCATTCTTAATAACAAGCCTCACTGAGGAAGAAACTGAGTTACTTGCCTAAGGTCAACACAGCAAGTAAGTATCAGTAGGAGAGCCCAGGTTTCAGCCACATCAGACTCCACAGCCTGGCTTCCAAATGAGGAGAGCTGACCTGCAGAGGCACCTCCTATCTGTGGGCCACTTCTTGCTGCTTGAAGCCAAGGAAGGGAGCCTAGTGAACAGTTTTTCCTACAACCTCTTAGCCAATTTTGGCTTCATTTCTCACCCTCCAGGGTTGGTAGATGCTTCCAAAGAGGGTTACTTGGTCCCTTAGAGACCAAATACGGCAGCGGTAATATTGGACTGTTTAAGTGGCTTTTGACATAGCGGTTCCCCTCTAGTGTCTTGCCTCAAAGGAGGGAGTAGTTTTTTGGTCATACAAAGACAAGACCAGAGCACTGGTAAATTCTGTTTTTGTATGGGGGAGCAGTCAAGGCTCTTCCAACTTTAAGTGATAGAAACACAATTCAAACTGTCCTTAGCCCAAAAGGTATTTATTGGTCCATATAACTGAAAAGTCTGGAGTGAGAGGCTTCAGGCTAGCTGGATTTGATCCAGGTCTTCAAATGTGAACAGGTCTCCTTCTTTGTCCCCTTATCTCTTGACTCTGCTTTCATCTGTGTTAGCTTCATTCTGAGACAGGCTCTCCCTGTGAGGGAGCAGAAGTGGCAGCCAGTAACATCAGGAGATGTATATCTGAGTAACGCTGATAGAGAACTTATTTTCCCCAGTAGTTCCAGCAGGAATCCAGTGAAGACTTTCCTTGGCCAGTAGATTTTATATGTCTATTCCTGGAGCCAAGGAAGACAGTTAATTTTCCAAAGGTACCAGAAGATGGGAATGGATGTTTGGTAAGCAGATCCACCAGAATCCATCACAGTAAAGAGCCTTGGAATAGTCTGTGCTGATGCCTCTTTCCTGGCCCATCGTACCAACCCAGGCCTTCCCTCCTCATTGCTGCCAAGCACCCAGGACAGGAGGTAGCTGGGACCTCTGGCCCTTTGATGGAAGAAGGCCATACAGTCCTCCCCTCCAGTCACCATCCAGACCAAACACCCAGCATCCTTCTTCTGTCCTAAAAGTGACTGTTTCTCTAAAGCCCCCAGTGTTTACTGAGGATTGTCAGAGCCATTGTTGGGCATTAGATCCTCTCTGCCAGTCATGTTCCCGAGCAGCTGGGTGGTTTGAAGGTATAAACCAGAGAGGCCTGAGGGAAGGATAGTTAGCAGACTCCTGGTCTTTTCACAGTTTGTGTCCATCTATTCCAAGGACCGCAGGCCACAAGCTTTGTTTGTTCCTTATAGTGGTTCATTGTTGCTGTTTTAATGTGAATTGGTTTCCAACATTTAAAAATAGGGGAATTTTATTTAAAAATCCTGATTTCTGGTTCCTCTTTAAAAAAACAAAAAACAAAACACACACACACACACAACTAAGACCTAACAATACTGGGCCCAAATTCCCCCATGGCAGCAGTTGATTAGAGCTAAAATAAGTGACTTCTTCCTTTAGACAGGGCATGTGCTTTCCAACTCACCATAGTCCTCACCAGCCTGCTTCATTCAGAACCTGGCCTTATTATTAAATGTCATGTTTGAGACCCTGCTCTGTCCCACAGCTTTGCTTATTTGGGGGAAGAAGCTGGCCAGCAGCTTATTTGGGGGGCACAGTGCTGTTGCTTAGGAAAAGTAACAACCCAGTAAAAGTTCATGGGAAAGACAGTGCACAACTTTGGTCTGTTTGTGGATTTGGTCATCTTCTTGCCGTAAATGCTGTTGGCATATCAAACCTCTTGTCACAAATGTTCCCTCTGAAATAGTAACATGTCCTTCTATCTTATGAGTTGCCACCCAGTGAAGGAATCCCTCCCACTCCCAAGGGATGTTCATGTAGCTTCCACTTGACCACTTCCATCAGCCAGGGAGCTTATTACCTCCTCACATGGCAGCCAGTTCCTTTCTTGGACAGATACATTATTTTAAAATTCTTCCTTATGTTGAGGCAGCTGCTGTCTCCGTGGGGCTGAAAGCCACAAAATGCTGGAGCTGGGAAAGGAGACTGATTTTTTCAGGCCTGTGAACTACCATTCATCCATCCTGCATTCAGGGCAACCATTGATAATCAATCACAGTTCTTTCTCACTGAGCTGGGAAGTAGAATGCAACCTGAAAACTTTTTCAAATAAAATTATTTAAAAATTACAAAAGTAATATGTGTTTACTTGCAACTAGTGAAATGCTACAAAGTTATATGAAGGGAGTTAATTCCTTCTTCTCTCCATGGTAACCAATGTGAACAGCCCAGGGTGTGTCCTTATACGCATTTCTTTATACACGTGCATATAGAGATATAATATATAAGGGTTTTTGTATGGCTTTTATTTTCTTTTTACAAAAATGACCTTGTATATATTACTACGGAGCTTTTGATCATCCCTGCAGGTTGGTGGTTAAAGATCAAACACTATATATAGTTGTGTTTTTTGTATTCTGCTGTCGGGATCAAGCATGTTTTTGATAGCTACACAATATCCCATCGTGTGAGGTGTGTCCCCAGTTTATTATTATTGCCCTTTGATGGGTATTCATATTGCTTCATTTCTTCAGGATCCTTCTCACCACAGTGCTCCACGCAGCCACTGCCAGTCGTTTGGAGCTGATCTGTGAAGTAAAACCCATTTGTCATGTCTGATCCAGTCTGGCTCCTTATCTTACACATTGCAGAGAAGGGAAGCAGACTCGCTTAAAGATCAAAGTGAATCAGTGTCTGGGGCAAGACTAGAACTTAATTTTCTTGACTCAACATTTCCCATGTCACCTCTCACTTCCAGCTGTTTTTCCTGGTTCTCCTCTGGAGTAAAAGAACAAGTCTAATTCCTCTTCTGTGTGCTACCCCTTCAGATATTAGAAGTCAGTTATGTCATTCCTTCTGAGTCTTCTCTTCCCCTGGGGAAATTTCCTCAGTGCCTTCAAATTTTTCTCTTAGGACAAGGTTTCTAAATCTGTTTACCATCCCGTGAGCCATTCCTTCTATCATCTTCTCGCCGCAAGGCTCAATCTCAAGTGTGGCTTCCATGCTTACCTTCTTTATTCATTCTTTCAACAAATACGTATTGAGCACCATCTATGTACCAGTCACTGTTCTGGGCACTGGGTGACCATATAGCTTGCTTTCTGGTGGAAAGAGAAACAACAAAAATAAGGTGATACCTGAGGGTGTCAAATTATATAGAAGAAGTAGCGTTAGTGTGACTCCTTAGACTGGATGGTCAAGGAACCTCTCTCTGAGGAAGTAACATTGAGACTTGAGTGACAAGCATAAGTAGGTTTGGGGGAAGAGAATTCCAGTGAATAAGAAAACTTGGTACAAGATGAGGTTGGAGAGGCCACAAGAGTCTTGCAGGGCCCTGTAGGCCATGATACGTTCAGGTTTAGTTTAGGTTTCACTTAAGTGAAATGGGAAGTCTTTGGAGGATTTAAGCCAGGAGGCAACATTTGATTTCCTTTTAAAAAAGATTTCCGGGGGCACCTGGCTGGGTCAGTCAGAAGAGTGTATAAATCTCAATCTCTCAAGGTCATGAGTTCAAGCCCCACGTTGAGTGTAGAGATTAATAAAAAGGTAAATAAACTTTAAAAAAGATATCTGAAAGGTCTGTTTAACTTGGAACAAGGTTTCATTTTCCCCTACACTTTTCCTTATATCCAAAGGGATTGACATCTGGGGCAGTTTGATCTGTTCAGGTGTCCCACAGAGGATCTGCCAGGTGAGTCACAGCCATCCTCAGATGTACCTCACAGCCCTCTTCAGCGGGATCATGGAAGTTCAGGGAGATGGCAGTAGCTCCCTAAGACCTGAGCCCAGCAGGTTCAGTGGGTCTTTGTGTGGAGTTCTCAGTCCTTTGGCAGCCAGAAGGAGATGGAGCCAAATGTGGTTTGGGGATAGAGCCAAGGCACTGGTTGCAGGAGAGACAGGGAAATGGGAGTGGAGACCTAGAGCTCAAGATACTTAGAAAAAGGCTTCAGAGTAGTGTCCAGAAATCAGTCAACTGAAGAATAGGCCTGTTGTCTGCCCAGTTAACACAGCTCCTGTGTAGTTCCTGTCTAAGAGAGGAATTTGGACACTTTCTTGCTTGGGAGTTTTTTTACTTTGGATGTGACTCTTCTCAGGTTGGCATCTTTTGTGCTCTTAGGAGTCTGGGTGACAGTCTGGCATCTTTGGGAGCCAAGGGAACTTCCCAACCCAGGGGGCTTGGGTCAGGAGTAGCCTTCAGGGGAATGAAGAAGAGGTCTGGGGGAAACTCACCTCAGAGCAGAGACGAGTGAGATCTTAGAGGTCAGAGCTGCACCTTTCCCAGAGTGGCAGAGTTGGGTTGGAGGAGGTGAATCCCCCAGCCTGTTGGAAATCTTTGAAAAAGCCTTTGTCCATGCCCCTACCCATGGGCACTGAGGCAGTTACTGATCAGTTAGCTGTCTGCATACTTGAGATCTCCACTGGGATTGCCACCCCATCATCCACTCACATCTTAGCTTTGTGAGTCTTAGACTGAAATAATATAAACTCCATGGAGTCCTCTTAGCAGGTGAGCAGTCACTCTTTCCCACTCTCAGAAGAGGTGGCCAGAGACCAGCAATGTCAAGGCATGTGCTGGGGGTCATGTGTCACCTGGGACCACTTCTCCATTAATTCAGATCTTTCCCTGTAGTGTGCAGCCTCTCCTATTTCCGATTTCTGGAAAATCCTACCAACTTACTCTGCTTCCTTTGGTCCCATGACAGCCAGGCATGCTAGGCAACATCTTCTCCTCAGTCTCTCTGAATCCCAGTCAAGCCTTTTCTCTGGATCTGGAGATTGGAAGGAAATTTGGTTTAGTATCTGGTAATTGGCTTCATCTTTCTCCCCGGGGGCTCAGCAGAGCAGATACCCTGAGAGAGGAAGGCATGAAGGCTCCTTCCCCCTCAACCCCCACTAACCATGCTAGTTCCAGCCCTTTCATTCTGTCTGACCCCCTTGCTTCCTTTTCTAGGAGCCTGGAGAGGTGTGGCTGGACCAAGACCTCCCCCGATGTGAGCAGGTTTCCTCCTCCCCCCACTGCCCGTTGCCACCACGCCAGGGAACGTCCTCAAGCCCTGGCCCTCAGGGGAGAGGTAACAGGAGCCCCGAGCCGAGACCATGTGACGGCGCTGGCCCTCGCCACCGCCGTCCCCTCCACCCTGGCCCCAGGCCCGGCACCATGATGTTCCGAGACCAGGTGGGCATCCTCGCTGGCTGGTTCAAGGGCTGGAATGAGTGTGAGCAGACGGTGGCCCTGCTGTCACTTCTGAAGCGGGTCACTCGCACCCAGGCCCGCTTCCTGCAGCTCTGCCTGGAGCACTCGCTGGCGGACTGCAATGACATCCATCTGCTGGAGTCGGAGGCCAACAGTGCTGGTGAGTCTCCACCCCTAGAGACAAGCACAGTGGAAGGGAGACCTGGAACAAAAGCAGATGTCAGAGGGCTGAGGAGGCCCACCCCCACAATGGTGCTGAGAAATGTAGGTCCTGAGCTTGTAGCTGGGTGGGGAGTCCCTGACCTCCCAAGTCATCATCATAGGTCTCCTGGGGCTTTGTTGCCAGATGTCCTCAGATATGGAATGGGGGGTTACTGGGGAGGACAGTGCAAACTGGAAACAACCCATAGCAGAGGAAGAGTTACGTAGGGTGGCCTGTCTAGGCAGCAGAGGAAGAGACTAAAGTCATTACCTGTGAAAGGGGGTTGGAAGCTGAGCAAGTAATTCATTTCTCAAGCTCTAGGACACCAGAGCTAGGAGGGAATTTTAGAATTCTTCCAAAATTTGTGAGTCATCTTAAACTGTTCTTTACTCCCAAAGGTAAGTTGGACTTAGGCATAAAGAGCTTCAAGAGAGTTTTGAGTTTAGATATAGTCCATATCAGTTCCCTAAGCGCTCAGTAGAGAGGTATATTCTGTGTCCCATGAGGTTGGCGTTGGGATGGCTGAGCCAGGCTTCTCTAGAACTGTCTGTCCCAAGAGCCCCCCTCGTAGACCAGAGTCAGGCTGGAGAAGAGGGCAAGTCGTGCTACCTGAAAGCTAACTGGGGAGGGGACCTGGAGGCTCCGTGTCAGCGCATCCAAACCCTTCCCACCTTCTTCCCCATGATAATAGTTCACATCGAGCCCTTACAACAAGCCAAGTACTGGCTTTACTTGGACACTAACTTTGAAAGCAGTCTTCTTTGGCGGCTCTAGAGCCCAACTGTCTGGATTTAAATCCCAGTTCTGTCATTTGCAATATAACAAAGTAACTTAATCTTTCTGAGCCTTGATTTCTTCATCTTTAAAATCAAGACAGTAACTATGCTTACCTTCTAGGGTTGTTGTGAGCTCTGAGAACAGTACCTGGCATGTAGTAAACACTCAATAGATGTAAATTGTTTTTATTGTCAGTAACTTATTTAGTTCTCACAACAACCCCATGAAATAGGTACTGTTATTATCCCCATTTTATAAGTGAGGAAATCCACATGGGCTGCTAAGATTGGGACTGGGGAGCCACAGAGTTACCTGGCTTCCCTCATCTCCCCAGGCCCATCCACTTTGTAATAGTCACCTTTATTTTTCTGAATTTTTATGTACAAGTCACAGAAACACCGTGGTTATAGGGTGAGGTGGCTCCTCAGGCCAGGAGTCACACCGGCTTAAATCCCTCACAGGAGGACAGTGAGAACAAGAACCTAGCAAGGCTGCAGCAGACTCAGAGCTCAGCAACTTCACACCCCTCCCTCCCTCCCCACCAGGGAAGGCTCCTCTCTGCTCTCTGGCATCAGGGGCAGGAGTTCTTGGTTGCGGGATGGCTCTGCCCCCAGAGTAGGGCTCCTTTGGGGCAGGCCATTGTCTTATGCAGTGTTGGCACACATCCCTCCCACCCCATCCTGAACAGGCAGTTGTTGAGCACTGGATGCCAATCTTGTCTGTATATCAGAACCATCAGTGGTGTTTATTCTATTGTTTTATTAGAACATGTTTAATTTTTGTGTTTGTTTTCAAGACTTGTAAAATCAAACCGTATGAAAGGTAAAAAGTGAGGGCTCCTCCCTTCCATACTTCCACCTTCCCAGTTGGTGTATGTTTTGTGAAATATTCTGTGCATGTATGAGTACATATACTCTCCCTTCAGCTTGTTCATTGTTTTGATCGTTTTAATACATAGAGTGGAACACTGTACATATTAACCAATTTTGTTTAACAGTATAACTTGAAGATTTCATATATATATATGTGTGTGTATATATATATCCCTCATTGTTAATGGGTGCATAATAGCAAGAACACATGAATTGGTATGTTTGGCCTGCTCTTACAAACAGTGTTGTAATGAGTACCCTTTAAGCATCTCTAGGATAAATTCCTAGAATTCTGTGGAACTGCTAGTTTGAAATGATGTGCATTTAAAATATTCCCTAGGGGCACCTGGGTGACTCAGTCAGTTAAGTCTCCAACTCTTGATTTTGACTGAGGTCATGATCTCAGGGTCGTGGGATCGAGCCCCGTGTCAGGCTCCATGCTCAGTGCAGTCTGCTTGTCCCCTCTGCTGCTTCCCCTGCTTGTGTGCGCATGCACTCTCTCCCTCTCCGTCTCTCAAATAAATAAGTAAAATTTTTAAGTAATAAATAAATAAAATATTCCCTCTTACCACATTGCCTTGAAAGACATGGTACATTTTATTCCAAGAACAGAGGCCCATCCCAGATGGTTTGCATTGGGATTTGAGGGGTAATGCCTAGCCAGGGCTGAGAATTGATGAGGAATGAATTCACTGGTGTATGAAAATATGAATCAAGGCCTTCGGCCATAGTCCCATGTCAGATGGTGAGAATATAACAAGCTGGTACTTGGATGGAGAGGTAGGGAAAACTTAGAATGAGAGAAGAGAAGGAGGGCTATGGTGTATATCAGAGTTGGCAGGAATCCTGCCAGGATTAGAGCAGAGCATGACTGGAGAGAGACGTGATCACAGAGGGGCGCCTGGGTGGCTCAGTCGTTAAGCGTCTGCCTTCAGCTCAGGTCATGGTCCCGGGGTCCTGGGATCGAGCCCCGCATCAGGCTCTCTGCTCAGCGGGGAGCCTGCTTCTCCCTCTCCCACTCCCCCTGCTTGTGTTCCCTCTCTCGCTGTGTTTCTCTCTGTCAAATAAATAAATAAAATCTTTAAAAACAAAAGAAGTGATCACAGAGGTAAATTCTATAGAGCCTTGAGTGGCTCTTTCTTGATAGACAGGGGCCTCCAAGACTAAGGAGGCCTGTGTCTCCTGTCTTGGTGCCTCCCTCAAGTAGAACAGCCCCCTTGCGTTATTTGTGAAGGAAGGAGCTACTTCCTGGGCCTAGAGGCCTGCCTTGTGGGAGGAACTGTGCACCCTCTGCCTTTTTCTCTTCCCTTGTTCATTATGGCCTTCCCATTCCCTTGTGTTTCCCAGACTTGCATCATCATCCACCTTACCTGGTGGGAGGTAGTGACTGTTAAAATCCAGCCCCTACCTGCCCAAGCCAGACCCACCAAATCAGAATCCTGAGGGGATGGGCCTGGGAACACATACCCAGGTTCTGCTGACCAGGCTGTTTGAGAGATGATGCCCTGCTGGATGAATCATTTGTCATGGGACTTGAGAATAGGAATCCGGACATCTAGGAGTTCTAGATCCATCTCTGCCCCTAACACCTCTCATGTGTTGGACCAGTTCCACCCCTCTTAAGCCTGAGAATCTGTATCTGAACAGTGAGAGGGTTGTTCTAGATACTCTTCAAGTGCCTCTTGGGCTCTGAAATAATGCACCAAAGAAGGTAGAGCCACAGCCAAGCATATTACTGCCTTTGTTGGGAAGCCAAGCACTTTCTTCTAAAAGAATAGTTCTTAGTATTTTAAGAGATGGACTCTTCAGGGAATGTGTTCCCCGCCCCCACCCACCACCACCAAGATGCACACTTACCCCACAGATCAGATCATGAATTCGTTTAGTACACCAATCCCCAGGGAAGAGCTGCCTCATAGGGTCTGAAACTCTTCAGCTTTTTAGATACCTTCAGCAGGGTGGCTGAACAGTGAGGCAGATCCTCTGCCATTTTTTGGGTTTGTGCTCTGTGTCCCAACCACCCAACCCTGCCCCTTCTTTAAGTTCTCCCAAGGAGATCCTGGGTTCAGGTTTGGGTTTGGGTCAGAGCTACCCACCTGCCCATCTCCTCAGAAAGGGCAGGGAGTGCAGAGGGCTTGATCTAGGCAAGTGGGTCCCAACCCTGGCTTCATATCAGAATCATGCAGGCACCTTATAAAAATAATCTGAGGGGTCGCCTGGGTGGGGCTCAGTCATTAAGCGTCTGCCTTCAGCTCAGGTCATGGTCCCAGGGTCCTGGGATCGAGCCCCACATCGGGCTCTCTGCTCAGCGGGAAGCCTGCTTCTCCCTCTCCCACTCCCCCTGCTTGTGTTCCCTCTCTCGCTGTGTCTCTCTCTGTCAAATAAATAAATAGAATCTTAAAAGTAATAATAATAACCTGAGGCCTGGGTCCTATCCCCAGCAAGTCTATTTGTTAAGCTCCCTTGTTGGCTCTTGTGTGCATCCAGTGGAGAACCACTTGTCTTGATACTGGTGCTGATTCTGGGTGGGCCCAGGAAGGTGGTGAGGGTATGCAGCCTACTGGGAGTAGGGAGTTGGGGCTGTGGAAGGGGGATCTGGTCTGGGCTATTCCTTCCTCTCAAGCAGCTGGGAGGGTTTAGGGAAGTCCCCCAGCCCAGGCAGCCAGTGTTGGTTTCATGGAAGCAGAATCTGAAACCATACCCAGGAAGAGAAAAGCAGTAGTACCCTACGGGTCTCTGGAACAGGGAAGGAGAGGCCCCAGCTTTCCCCTTGCTGTCATCCCTATTCCTTTTCCCAATGCTGTCTTCCCTGCCTGTTTGGAGCTATAACAGTAATCCTGGCCCTCTCTTTCCCCCTGATGCTGACTTGGACCAAAAGGGTAGAGCCAGGGAAGCTGAAATCCCCTTCGCTTCCTGGGCCACATTTCCTGCATTTCTTTCCTCCTCCTGTCCTCTGAGTCAGAGTCCCTGTATCCAGCA